TCTGAGTTAATAATTTTTTATGATTAGATTGTACAGTAAATTCATGAATAAAAATTGAGATGTACTTCAGATGGGTTTAATGGGCTCGAGGTCATTGCTACTGAGGGTCCTATATTTTTTATTGCAATGTGAAAACGGAAAAGAAATCACGAATACATTGTTCGATATTCGGAATAAAAAAAAATTCAGAGAGTGGGTTGAAAGTGAGAGAATGAAAGTTTAATAAAAGGCCGCCGAAAGGGGAGGGCAAATTATCCAGATCGTAATTGCTCATGAGGATCCATGACCTTCCAGTTGTGTCTGGTATCAGTGTCTGGTGATCACTGGGAGATGCAGTGAAAGATTTTTGTGAATGGACCCCACGGGATTCAGGTCATATCGAGAGCATCAGGTTGCTCTTGCATAATCTCACTGCGATTCGCAGTGGAGCAACAAAAAAAAAATGCATTCAAAAAAATTGTTAACTAAAATCACCTGGCCTTCACCACTTGAATTGTCTAATTACATGACATAATTACATGCCAGCAATAATACGTGAAAATAATTAGATTGCAGCAACGAAATGACTCGACTGCCCTCGAAAAATTCTAATAGCTGATGATTTTCCAGTCTTTCACAATTTCTATTTACATTTTCCTTGTTTCGTGATTACAAAATAATTCGTAAACATTAAATAAACAACCTGATTTACCATAGATTTAATTCGGTTCAATTTTTTATTTGGAATGGGTAATATTCAGTGAATATTAAAAATCATTTTAATTGAAAAAAATGAAGAATAACTGAAATACACACATAACTGGCTATCGGCTAATCCGTAATATTTCCCGGGTTTCCTTACTCGTAAATACGATTACACAGAAACGTTTTCCTGTGGAGTGAATACCCGATACCACTATGGAAATATCCATTAAAAAAGAAATATTTAAAGTCTCTTTATTACTGGAAAATTAGGCACTTCAAGGCAATATTTATGGCTAAACTGCTTTTCTTCTTGAAAGCATTAACTTGGTACAAATTTCATGACTACCGCACTAATCTCCACTTTTCTTTGCGTTTCTTTTTATATTTTTCTCTTCCCATTTCTCTGTAACGCACAATCAGCCCGCAATATTCTTACGCAATGTGTCAACTCGTATTATGAAATAAATCTTAGGATGATTGAGGGAGGAGGATTGAAACGTTTACCAGTATTTATTTTCTGGAGATAAAACGTGACCGAGGTTCCTAGACATGGAAGCGTGACTGATTTTAGGTGAAATGTGGAGGAATTGAATAACGTATTCTGTACGTGTCGGTTAAATTTTTATTATATGTTTACATAATTTTACAAATCGTGAGGATTGCAATTGTAGGAATTGAAGTGGTGTAATAGACCATCGGGGGAGATAAAATTATATTTTTATGACGTATTTATAAGGAATTGGAATATCAGGTAGTCATGGCGCATAAACACATGTTAATGGCCTTTAAATGGGAGAGTCATCATTTTTTATTGCAAATGTTTAATGACAAGAAATAAAGAGGGGATTTTAATTCATAAATTAATTAATATGAGGGATTTCCAGGGGCAGGTGGAGAATTCCGGAATTGGAAAATTGTTTATGTGCAAAATATAATTTATTTAATACTATTTACACTTTATTGAAGTGTCTAATAGTTGACTATTATAAATAAAAAATACGGTATGAACAAATTGATAAATTATGGACTGATTATGTACAATACTTCCGATGAGCGAGCGAAGCGAGCGGTCGGGAGTATTGTACATTATCAGTCCATATTTTATCAATTTTTTCATACCGTATTTTTTATTTATAATGGTCGACTACTAGAGACTTTAATGGAGTGTTTATTAGTAGTTTAATTAATAGGATTGTGTTTTAAATAAATTATTGAGCCGTGCCCGGCGGTACTGCAATACCGGGACAACTCGCGACAGACTCGGGGCAAGCCCCGGGGGTCCATCAATTTCCAAAAATCAGTTTAATATTCTGGCACTCCAATGGAGTGCGTATCAGATATTAAGCTGATAAGAACAGATAAAAAACGTTTATTTTCCATTGAAAATACAGTACACTGCCCCAGGGAGACAATACCTCCTTGGGGTTGGGTAGGACTCTGAGGTCCAGAGGCAACAAAAATAATTTGTACATTTTTTCCTTTTTTTTTGTCGCAGAGCTTGTGTGTACAATGTAGAATACATGTAGTAATAAAACAAATGACATTCATAGTTTTTAATTTCATCATTATTTATAATTTAGATAATATCGATAGTTCCCATAGTGGGGGTCACTATATGTCAAGCTTCTTATTTTTAATTTGTTTATTATTTATAGTTTTATAATGTTTTATATTACATAAGTCAAGTGAGTCAGTTATAGTACAGACCACTATTCGTGGTCATGGTCAAATTACTCTGGTGCTTCGGGATCAGCGGGTGCGTCTAGGGGGGATCCGCCAAGGCCAGTCGGTGGGGCGGAGCCATATTGTCTGTTTCCAGAGACATGCTCTACGTAGATGTCTCTGGACCATCCAACAGTCTCCGCCACAATCAGCCTCCTCATGAGCGAGGCGTAGTAGTTCGAGACACCGAGCAACCTCAGGACACCTTCGTTATTCGGGTCCCAGGTGCCCAGCGCCCCGACCACCACCGCCTCAACTCGAACCTTATAGCCCTGGCAGCTCAGGGCTTCCGCTAGGGGCGCGTATTTCTTTTTTTTCCCCTCTCGTGCATGGATAAACGCGTCTGCCCCATTCTCGAACGCGACCGTAACATCAATAATCGCAATTTTTTTAAGCGCATCGTCCCGGACTACAATGTCTGGCCGAAGTGCCTGGAGGTCCCCAGTAACTCCATTTACGCGACGGTTTTCAGCTATTGATCCTGGTGTTCGGATGCTCTTCACTATTCTGCTCACAATCGCATTGTGGCGTAGCTGCATAGCGGCGGAGTGTGGCAGGCAATGGCACAGGACATGCGGGATCGTCTCACTAACGTATCCACACCGCCTACACCGCCTGTCACCGTTCCGCCACCTCATCGCGCCGTTTAATGGCAGCACCCCCAGCCTGGCCCTATGAATAAACCGCCAGTCCGCGAATCGCGTAAATTTCCCATCTCTTACAAACGCATTACTCATGCCTGAGTGCGCTGAGAGGTGGGAAACTTTACCCTGGTCAGGTTTACCCAGTAGGGAGGCCAG